TAACCCAAGACAATAATATATATTATATATGCATATGTGCTAAAATAGATCATCAGTACATTACCTATGTGATTAATACTACATAGTGTGGGGTTGGGAGGTTCATCTATAGGTCAGCTTCAGTTCAGGGCCTACGATTCAGGCACTACAACTGCCCTTCGTGATGGTTATGATTGCATATTTTGTCTGGCAATTGCATTTGCTTAGTTTTTCCTTGTCTGAGATGGTTGTTAAAAACTCAATATAAATTATGAAAGCAGCTTAATAAAAAATAAATCTCAGCTTGCCACTTGCATTCTAACAAAACAGTAACTGACCTTGCCATTAGTAAAATGGAAGCACCCTCAGCTGTTCTTGATTTCCCATAGGAGAATCCAGAACTGGATTTGGGTATTTTCTCTGTAGTCTCATGCCAGCGTTATCCAAATGATGATGATGAAAGGATCTGACTCTCTTCATCCAGCTTCTGCTGCCCAGACAGCATCAGGGTTGGTTGCAATCTGGACCCTTTTCTTGGTGACAGAACTTGTGAATGAGGTTGCTCCATTGATGTTAATCAAATGTCCAAGCACTGTCAACTACAGCTAGAATTAAATGGATTTTAACAAGGATTTTATATGAAAGGCTGCTAGCAGTCTTCTAGCCCAGTTAATGTCCACTTTTATATTTATCCTTTGAAATATCCACTGCTGACAAAATAAAACAAAGCTTACCAAAAAAGTGAAAATTTCTCTGAAAACAGTGCTGTCACAATGTCAGATTTCACAGACTTTGCAACCTAGAACCAATTCCATTTTTTCCCTTGCTGTTTTAAAATAACGTTTAGATCTTGTCATACATACCTTTGTTGTAGGAATGCACTGTGGTTGGTGGACACTTTATATATAACACGTTAAGCTTGGGGAAAAATAGTATTTGGATTGTTGGAAAACTTTGCTGAAGAAAAGTTATGTCTGCCTCTCCCTTTATACGCAGCAGAAGCTTTAAGGGTATATGGTCATAGGATTAAAATCAGCTATGTTTTGGCTTGCAAGCTCATGTGTTAAAGCACATCCATATGGGCATAATGCCTTTTTACAGCTGGCTTCCTTCTGTAACCCAGAGATTCACAATACCTATGTTTTTACAATTTCAATACAGTATCTTCAAATGTGTCTCAAATTCTTGTCTTTTTTTTTTTAAGTTAGATGTCCATTTTAGCTCATTGAAGCTCCTACATGATGTTCCTGCAGTGGGGAGTAATTTTTTGGGCTGTCGTTTTTCAATTCTGTGATGAAATTGAAACATGTTTAAGAAGAATATGTTTTTGTAACAAATTATGGAATTAGATTTCTTGTATATGTTCAGTTGCAATGACTGGTTAAGTATATTCAATTCCTGCAGTTGATAACGTCAACATTTCTGTTATTGCTCAAAGGCTTCAGCAAGCAGACGTTTTCAACTTAGAGGTCTTCTGAAGGATATTTTTTTTAACTTCACAAATTGTTTCAGGATACCTTTCTAGAATATTTTAGTCTTGATTGGATTTAAAACAAATTATTATAAAAATCACTGCCAATTTTCAATATAATCCAGTGAATTTTAGTAAATACTGTTTTTTCACTGAGCAGATTGGTTGTTAAGTAAAAGATTGTGTTGTGTCTTCCAGGAGCTCTTGATTTTAAATTTAAAATAAATTGATCTGTATCTGAGTGGGGAAAAAAAAGACTTGATATACAGGAAACTACTTGAATTAAATGCTCATTTTGACATTTTGCCAGTCATGGGAATTTGCACATGCTCTGGGCTGAGTCAAGATATTAAAACAAAAAATACTACAGTAAAATGAAACACGAGGAACGTTTAGGCTTAACTTTGTAAGTTATCATATGCATAATAGCAAACATGTGGTTTCTCTGTTCTTCGCTTTCCTTGTATAAGTTAATAGTATGTCTGAAAGCAAAGATAGTTTGATACAGCTCTGTGTTACTTGGCATTGCAGAATTCTCCTACTTTTTCCATTAGTCTCAAATTATCCTCTCCCTTGTAATGCAGCACTTCTGGGTGATATCCATAAGGGAGGAAAATTAGAGCCGGACGGATGGATTCTATTTCATTTGTTACCGATTTCATGACAGATAATACCTTGCTAGAAAACTATAGGGTCACACAGAATTACTTCTTGCTCGTTTCTAAGTAATTTAATTGACGTCACTGAGGGAAAAGGCTTGTTATATAAGAGATTTTTTTATGTTACTCTCTTAAAGAATACCTTTTGGCTTAGTCTACGCTATAGATATGGCTGAACTGAAAACTTAGAAATCTCTTAACGTATATATACTTGAAATTTTTTCTGTAGCTTCTCATTACTGATTTTAGTGTTTTCTAAGCAAAGCAACTGTTGTTGTTTCTGGATTTTTGTTTGTTTTTTCCCCACTTAGAGAGTACCTCAAGGCGTGACAGTAATGTGTGAGAAAGATTACAAGTCATGCCGAGCTTTGAAGACCCATGAGTAAAATAGGGGCATATTAATACCCATGAGCTAAAGGAGCTGCAGTTGGTTTGGGGGGAAAGGATTGGATTTGTGTTAATTAAGACACTGTGGAAAGTAACACAAATCAATATTTTAGATACAAAAGATTTTGAGAAGCATCGAGCATCTCTGACCTTACAGTCAAGGTGATAAAGTTCACTAGAGGCATCACTGAGATCTTTGTCAGTCCCCTGGGAAAGTTAATACCTGACTTTTCTAAATTGTAGCTTTATTTTTTTTTAAATACACACAGTCATTCCTCATCCTTTGTATGGGAGTAGAAGCAATACATGTCCTCTGTCACAGCTCTTCATTTTTTCGATGCAGTTCTATAAGGTTTTTCTAACACCTTTTGTAATTTTTTTATTCTTGACAACAAAGGAGACACTGCAGGGACTTCTCAAATTTGTTTGGAAGTGTTGGTTCTTGGTAACTGGCAAGGGGCTGAAGTGGAAATGTACACTGGGTTGTGTTTTCTAATTTTTGTTGTCTTTTTTTTTTCTGCCCAGTCCCTCACGAGGAATACAGTTGATTGCTTATGTTCATTTTCATGATAAGGTCATTAAGAAAGGAATCTGTGTTGAATCTGTAGAACGCTCCACATATTTTGCCATGTTGTTGTTGAGCAGAAAGTGAAAATGTTGTTTGTTGAAGCTGCCAGTATATTTATTGTGCTACTTTTCTCTACTTATCCCCAAAAGAATGCCCTCCTTTATTTAGCACCGTGGCACCGAGTTTCGTTACCACATGTTGCGCTATCCTGTGCCACACTGTTGACTTCTGTGAGCTGACACAGCTGCAGCTTTGGTGGTTTCACATTAGCTTTTTTTCATTTTCAGGAGAACTGTCTTACAGATGATATCAGCGTATCTACGTGGAAGGAGCAGGTTTTCCTGTCACATAGCGCTTTGCTGGCAAAGAGCTGCCAGGCTGCCATGGAGCTTGCAAAGCACAGCGCTGAGATCCAGGACATGGCATTTCAGTATGGAAAGCACATGTCTATGAGTCATAAGGTACGTCTTTTCCTTTCGTTCTGGGATCTTAAATGCAGAAGGACTCGTGAGATGTGCTGCGCTTGAGCTCAGTGGTGTGGTGCCACTATGCTGGTGACTTTCACCAGCAGGTCAGTGGTGTTGCAAGATTGGACTGCTGCCTGGTGCAAAGGTGTTTGCTGGGACTGCTAGTATGAATGCTGCTTGAACTGACAAAATCACGCTCCTGGCAATGTAGCTTGTTTCTGTTAGTGTCCCTCTAGTGCTTCTTTCTGTAGCAGCTTAAAACTTTACCTTCTCTGCTCCTGCGTTCTCCCTTATGCTACTGTCCCAGTAGCAGGAGGAGGCATGTGTTGGGTGTCAGCTGCCACCATGCAGAGATCAGTGCCAAGAGGCTCAGCTGCCTGCAGCAGCACACGAGCTGAGGCATGAGCTGCAGTGACTCATGCACCTGCATTGTTCCCTTCTGAACGATCTACTGTGGAGATAACTTCCAGAGAAGGTGGCTGGACAATAAGTTGGGAGGTCACCAGATACAGACAGGAGCGACCTACATCTCTGCAGCAGTAGGATTTCCTAGAGAAGGCCTCTGACCTCCATTAGAAGTCTTTTTTCAGTCCACATCTAGACTTAGTCCAAAGGAAAGCACACGTTGTGGAACTTAGACTCTTGGCACTCTCTTTTTGCCCTAAAGATGTGCTCCTGCTGCATTGCACTACTTGCAAGTACAGATGTAGCTTGAGACAGGCAGACAGACCTCTCATCCACTTCAGCTGAGTTGGTTTAGACAGTTTGTAGTTCCTTCAGGAGAAGGAAGTGGTTTTATAAAGCATAGCTCTACTGCTGTTCAGATGTCACTATATGCTATTATTAGATATAACTCCACCAGTAAATTGCTTCTAGTGCGGACTATAGCCTTAATATTTTGTGTATGCTTTAATATTAATACATTCACCGCACACATATAGTTGTGTATAAAGGATTGTGTAATTTTCATAGAAAGCTCCTTTGTCAGAAGGAGGTTCATATTGCATCAACTTCCTTGGGTATCAAAAAGTGGAATGTATTGCCCTTCACAAATTAAAAACTGATATTCTTCACACCAAAGACTGGATCATTCTTTCCTTTATATTTTGCGGCTTCCTGCCACTCAACAGCTGCCTGCCTGCCTATGTCCCATCGCCTGCACGGCTCTGCAAGATGTCCTTTACCAATTTCTTCGCAGATTCTCTGCATGCTTCTCTTTACCACAGCTTTCTACCACTGCAGTGCTTTCAACATCTTCTCTCTCCCCAACACTTGAAAAAGTGCGACCAAACTGGAAGTGTCAAAGCAGAAAGTGGTGAGCAGGTATAGAATCAAGATATCGACCTTGATTTGGTGAGTGGATGGGTATGTGTAGACTGTTTGTGGGAACTGAAGAAAGATATTATTTCCTTTCAGCTACATTCAGACCTTCAGCCATTTGTTAAAGAAAGTTCCAGTGACGCCATGGCCTTCAGTTTGAATTCTGCTCCTGCAATCCTTCATCAGGAATTCCTTGGAAGGGAGGCATGGATTAAACAGATCAGAGAGGTAAATTAAAGCATTGTTTAGAATTTTCCAATTTTGCCATTTGTATCTCTCTTCCTACCTATACTTTCAGTCTGTGAAGGAACTTAGAAACCAGCAATGTGCAAAACAACATAGAGGTGACATCTGCTCTCCAGTACTGAAACACCTCTCTTCCACACTTTCAAGAAAGGGGACATCTAGTGATCTGACAGTCAAGCTCTGTCAGTCTTGTGTATGTCAGTGTAACAATCAGATTCATCTGCGTGGAGCATACATCTATTCCTCTGCTCTACTTGTGCTGTCCTACGTCTTGACTTAAAGCTACTTTCACTGGTAGCTTAAAGCAGAGAACTTCTCATTACAGTGGCTGAAAGTTAGGCACGTGTTTCCTTCTGCCAGCTTGGCTCTGGGAGCAGTAGTTTTGGATGAGGAGGGAAGATCTGGAGGACTTGACTTCCTGACCACTACAAAATGTTTGTGAGATCTAACTGGCTGATATTCTTTGTTTTAATTCAGGTATTCTTTTCCTTTAACCCCAGTAAGAATAAAATGGCTATGTGGTGACCTCTTTTATGTACCATGTAGCACAGCAGGATTGAGGTCCATAAATTAGCTTCCTGAGTGTTGCTGAAACACAAATAGGTAACTGTAGAAGACAGCAAGGAAGGAAAGGGGGGAAAACACTAAAAACAGCCACAATCAAGCATTCTTTTGAGTTCCTGCATCAGTCAGATGTTTTGTTGCTCTAAAGAGCAGTGATGACTAGCATTTGGAAATGCCTGCAGTTGTTACGCTGATTTTTCGGTAGAAAGACTGCTGTCTTCAGTAAGAAGCCAGCTCTGTGCAAGCATATTCATTCGAGATGTACTTGCCGATAGTTCCTTTCCTCACTGGTTTGAAAGCTGGACTCTTGGATAGACAGTGTAAAGTCTGAGCCTCTGCCTAGTTCTGCGCCAACAATGGCACGGTTGCAGCCTGCCTTCACATGCGCAAGCAAGAGGTGAAGTCCCTTCAGCAGTGAAATTCTGGGAAGTCTATGCAGAATCTGCAGTGTTACAGTGGTGTGAAATTGGGGGAATCTTGAAGTGAGGCAAACCTTTTGTTTGGGGGCTGGTAGTTTTTAATGTGCGACGGGAAATTTTGGAATTCTACAATCTCAACACAAGGCTCGTATGCGAGTTGAATGCAAATGGGCTTGGATCATTGCAGTTGGAGAAAGATGGTATTACCACAGCACAGTGTATAAAAGCTTTGAAACAACTTCCCATCTGCAGAATCCAGAGGAGGTTGCAGGACTCCTGGAGTGCCCTCTGTCTGCTTACTAATTCTCATACCAAAAATGGGCATTATGGAAACAATGAAGCAGTTCTATCTGAAGGGGAGAGGAAGTGACTTGTACTGTGCAAAATTATCTGCTGACTACTACTTCAGCTCAATACTGGGTGGAATGCCTCGCCCAGGGGCCTTTCTTGGCTTGTGTTGATTTAGAAAGGAAAATTACCTTTCATTAACTACAGGCTCTTTGATATATCCTCCATAGTCAATACTTTTCAGAGTGTGCTCATAAGCCACCCTCTTGTGTGGTGTCATTTGTATGGTTTAAATAGCCAAAGCAGGACAGTGCACTCGGTCCCTGTCAGGTAGAATTGTTCGCAGTGGCTGTGTTTACGACTAGGCATATGGAAATGCTGATTTGGATGTTTCCTTACTGCTAAGGAGTCTGGCTTTCTCCTTTGATTGTTTGCCCATATAAGTGTTCATATGATGGATTAATGGCAGCATGTTCCCTTGGCAGCTTCTTCCTCTTGCAGGAAGACATTGGAGGTCAAGAAACTGGAAGTAAAGGTTTGCACCCAGTAGTCTCCACACGTTCAGAAAGCATGTGGCTGGGAGTTAATGTCAGTAACGCTTATCTTCAATGAAGGCAGTCTTCAAAGGGGTCATGAAGGATGCCTGAACTGCTGTGGAGTGCCCAGAACTTTTGTGCTTGTCTCGCCACAGTTTTCTTGTCAGACATCTGGATACGGTTGCTGTTCCCAAGATAGCCTTTGGGTGGAGACGTTCATGTGAACCTTTCTGCTACTGAGCTGAAGACCTTTTAAAAGTCCTCTTGTCTCTTCATTTCGAAAGAGCAAAACACATCAGATGGCCAGGTGTGGAAGGTTGCAGCAATGCTAAATGCACATATTGAGAAGATTAGATTCTGATTTTGATGGAATTTAGAGAGTGGCTTAAAAGGGACTTGATATGTGTATAAGGGGGAAGCCTTGTCATAGGAGGAGAACATTGTATAGGTATGTGTATGTGTGTGTGTATGCTTGGAGATATATGCATATATATACATGAATGAATGATCCATAAAGACACAAGTCTCTCCTGTTGTCACTGATCTTGCCACAAACACCCTCCAACTTTGTGCATATAAAACTAAAACACCCAATGAACTATTTTGTCAAGTATCTATTTTAAAAGGAGTATGGGTTGGAGTACAGTCTTGAAATGTTTGGAAGAAAAAAAAGAAAAGCAAAACCAAAAACACTCAAACCACCCAACCGTAAATGGTTCCTGGAAAAAATTGTTGTAGACGAAGAAACTTTTGAATGCTCTTCTTTAGACAAAGTGTTGTAATAGTTGTTGAATGCAGTCCCACTGAGCTTTTGAAAAGCCCTCTATTCTCGAAATTTAGCAGATAATCTGGGATTTCCTACACATTTAAAGATGGAAGTGTTGATAGCTTTTAGCCTCTTACAGCTACCTCTGGCTAGACAACAGCAAAAATTCTCTGACTTCAAACAGGCATCCAATATCTAAGCAGTGAAGTAAAAAAGATCAAAGTTTGAGCGAAGAAATTAAGTGGAATCCATCTTAGCTCACAGCATTTATAATTTTAAAAAAGGAGTAAGTCAGAAACTAGAACCTTCTCATCTAGTCCAAGATGTAATCCATGTGCCTTTCCATGTGCCTTCACCATGTGCCAATCCATGTGCCTTTCAGAACCTTCTCAGAAGAAGCAGGGCTGCAAGAAAAGCTTTAATCAAATACTTAATGGAGCATTTCTCAAGTGTAGATTTTAAGACATGTCAAAGGGATTCTCTCACCTAAGAAGGAAAAGTTTTGGAAGACATCCTGAAAACTTGCTCCAAAAGCATTGTCTTAAATCATCCACCTGTGCTCTGCTTATCTGATGCATTTTGAGTTAATTTCATGCAGGATTCAGGGATCCTTCTTCCTGGGAAGGTGAGCTGATTTCACACTACCTCATTTATTAATGAAGAATATAATGGTATTACTGCCCCTCACTGCTGGTACATGGTGATTTTTGGCGTTCAGATGGAAGGCTGAGCTGAGCTGGCTGTTCATGTCTCTAATATGCTGGTAAGCAGATGCTTTTCTTTGAGGGTCCAGAGCCCTGACATTCAGAGGCTGAGATCCTCAGCCAAGCAATGAGACCTGTAAAGTTATCCAAGTTTGAAAGAGTGCATACCATTTGCAAGTCAGGCTTAATACCTTTGAGCAACCTAAACCAGATGCAGAAATCTGATGTAAAAGGAAAAAAAGATCTGTGCGTCTGAGATTATGGTCAGTAAAAAAAAAGTCACAGAGCCACACTGTGGTGAGGACAAGCCACTTTCATTGGCCAGCGTTCCTGGCTAACGTGGGAGGTCCCAGTGGACTGGAGGTTAGCAATTATGATGCCAATCTAGAAGAAGGGCCTTAAGGAGGATATGGGAAACCTGATCCTGTCATCCTGACCTTGGTGCCAGGGAATGTTGTGGAGCAGATCGTCTTGAGTGCTATCACTTGGCATGTACAGCACAACCAGGTGATCAGGCCTAGTCAGGATGGGTTTATGAAAGGTAGGTCCTGCTCGACTAACCTGATCTCCTTCTATGACAAGGTGTCCTGCTTAGTGGATGAGGGAAAGGCTGTAGATATTGTCTTCCTCAACTTTAGTAGTCTTTGACACTGTTTCCCACAGCATTCTTCTGGAGAAAATGGGTGCTCATGGCTAGAATGAGCATACTTTTCACTGAGTGAAAAACCGTCTGGATGGCCAGGTCCAAAGAGTGGTGGTGAATGGAGTTAAATCCAGTTGGTGGCCAGTCATGAGTGGTGTTCCCCAGGACTCAAGGTTGGGACCAGTTCTGTTTAATATCTTTATCAGTGATGTGGATGAGAGGATTGAGGGCACCCTCAGCAAATCTGCAGATGACACAAAACTGGGCAGGAGTGTTGGTCTACTTGCAGATAGGAAGGCTCTACAGAGGGATCTGGACAGGCTGGATCCATGGGCTGAGGCCGATTGTATGAGGTTCAACAAGGCCAAGTGCCAGATCCTGCACTTGGGTCAAAATAACTCCAAGCAATGCTACAGGCTTGGGGAAGAGTGGCTGGAGAGCTGCCCAAAGGAAAAGGACTTGAAAGTGTTGGTCAGCAGCTGGCTGGACATGATCCAGCAGTGTGCCCAGGTGGCCAAGAAGGACAACAACTTCCTGGCCTGGATCAGGAATAGTGTGGCCAGCAGGAGTAGGGAAGCAGTTGTCCCCCTGTACTTAGCATTGGTGAGGCTGCACCTCAAATCCTGTGTTCAGTTTTGGGCATGTCCCTACCAGAAGGACATTGAGGTGCTAGAGTGTGTCCAAAGAAGGGCAGCAAAGCTGGTGAAGGGCCTCAAGAAAAGGTCTTTTGAGGAGCGGCTGCGGGAACTGGGGTTGTTCAGCCTGAAGAAAAGGAGGCTGAAGGGGAGACTTTATCGCTCTCCACAGCTACCTGAAAGGAGGTTGCAGCAAGGTGGGGATTGGTCTCTTCTCCCAAGTAACAAGTGATAGGACAAGAGGAAATGGCTTCAAGTTGCACCAGGGGAGGTTTAGATTGGACACGGGGAAAACCTTCATCACAGAAAAGGTTGTCAAGCACTGGAACAGGCTGCCCAGAGAAGTGGTTGAGTCACCATCCCTAGAGGTGTTTAGAAGATGTGTAGATGTGGTGCTTAGGGACATGGTTTAGTGGTGGACCTGGCATTACTAGGTTAATGGTTGGACTTGATGATCTTAAAGGTCTTATCTAATCTAAATGATTCCACAATAAAATGAAATAAAAAAGGAATAAAGGTGTAACAGTAGTAAAGAAGATTTAGGAAACAGATTAGATTAGGTTGTTGCTTGGAGAACCACAACTGCCATTGACTTGAATGTTTGAGAGGAACAGCGTGAGAAAATATTCTTGCTGTTTGGAATGTTCGTAATTAGACGCAGGAGGAGGCATGCTGAGCACACCTCGTCTGGTATTGCTGAGACTAAAAAGCATCTTCCTCAAACATGTTGGCAAATTCTCTGCTGCAGTGTGAGTCTGCATATAGGCAATCATTTGCTAAAGAACATATTTCTGGTGTGTTCTGATACACAATATAACTACTAGATATATTTTGAAGAAGCTGTAAGATCCAACCAATATGAATGAAAGTTGGCAAATCAAGGAGATGGGAATACGTAAATAAGGCAGCAGTTACTGGCAGTGGTTTTGATACTCCCAAATGGTATCAGCCTGTTTTCTTAATATGCATTCCAGAAAAGCTGACTCTTAAGAAGCTTAAAGAGAGTAGTAACGAGGTTTTGTGGATCACTCCCCTTTCTCCTTCAGAGAAGTCAGATTTCTTATCTACTGTTTTCCTTCCTGGTTTGCTTGCTAAGTCTTGTTGGTTTTTTTTTTCCTCTATTTTATTTTTCCCTTACAAAAATTAATTAGTTTTCCAAATCTCCACCATCTCACCAACATCTCTGCAGAGCTGTGCTTGCCACATAGCGTTGCTCTTCAGTGCGGGCCTCAGCTCTTCTTATTATGCCGATTGGGGTGCTCCTCTTGGCTTCTCTCTGAAGTCCCCACAGAGGCCATGGAGAGGTAGTGGTCCTAATCTACATTATTTCCGGAGATATGTTCCAGAAGAACTGAGGTTTATGGTCTTTCCTTGTGGAGGCTAGAGGGAAAGAAATGGGTAATTTATTTATTTTTTTTTTTAATCAATGTGCCCGGAAAGAGAGGAGCTGAAGTTGATTGAGGTGATGGTGTTGCAGCTGGATCTGACTTACAGGGGTAGGCTTCAAGTTGGTTAAGCAGGAAATGGCAGAACACTGCCACTGTGTGAGAAAGACATAGATATCTTCTCTTGTACATCGTCCCGTGACAGAATTGAGGAAGTTGGACTACATACTTCTCTGCATCTGGGCAAAACGAAATTCAAAATTTATTTGTACTTCTTTCCAAATGCGCTAGGAGTTACAGGTTACTTGTGTCTGCTGTGTAAGTAAAAAGTGATGATGGTAGTTAAATATAATTCTAAACTAAAAGCACCTCCAGCCTAGGTCTAATAGCTCTGACATGGACCTGACATCCCCTTTCGAGAACTCTGGGCTGCTGTCTGTGTGCACATCACTACAGTACTCAGAGAATTCTCTTTTAAGAAAATAAATCCTATTATTCCTGACATGAAGTATAGTTTATTTCAGAATCTCATGGGAGAGATTAATTAATGCAAACAGCAAGATTTCTTAAGACCAAAACATCTTGGATTTAACAAATGTTTAACTACAAGTCATAATAAAAAACCTAAAAATTACATTGAGTATCTGCAGCTCTCATCTGAAACAGAACCATATTGTATAAGTTGGTAACATATTTGGTTGTATTTTAGGTTTTCCCATATCAGATTCCTAAAGAAAGTCAGCTATGCTTAAAGTAGTAGCTCTTTTAATTGCATTCTTTATTCTTTAGTTTGTACTGTGTAATGTCTTACATAAAATCTCTCTTTCTCTTTAAGGCACAAGGAAAAGGAAATGTAATGGACTACAAGAAGGTTGGTATATTACCTTTAAATCTCATTATTTTTAATGGGTTTTGTAATATTTTCTAGTATGTTCTTGACGGTAAGGAAGTTTCAACTAAAGTCACGTTATAATTTGTGTGTGTATGAGGAGGAAGAGAGAATGGTTTGTGTAATTTTTTGATGTTAAAAAGCCATTAACAACCAACTGTACTGTAAGTATCAAATATAGCTATTTAATAATATTTTTTGCTGTTATTTATCTCATGTACTTCCCCAAACTTGATTTTGAAACCAGGCCTTTGCTGTCACCTTTCTCTGCAGTCGTTTGCAGGTTAGCTTTGACCAGTGGCCTCTGTGTACTGGTAGGGTATGCTGTTACATTTTTTTTAATCTCACCTGAATGCCTTGCCATCTGTTAAGAACATATATGTACACGTTTTATAATAATTTGTGTTTTTTCAGGTCCCCATTACAACTTCTAGCTTAGTCAGTGCTGTATTTGCTGCTTAGGACTGCTCTATAGTAAAGGCAGCTCTGAACCGACTGCTGCAAGTAGCTGGGACACCATCGAGCTCTTGGCTACAGGAGGTGGCTGAGGAGGTTTCCCTGGTTAAATTCTGGAGCACAGTGTGCTTGTGGTTGGGACAGAAGATGACAGTATCCGCAGTTTGCTCACTGAGCGGGAGCCTGACTTGATTTGAGTCTTAAGTAGATCATGAGGGTCCAGTTAGTTATTTTCAGCGTGAGTGGGAAATTAACATCTAAATCACTGAGCCACACACGGGCTTGAGAATTACTTCTTGATCTGGGGCCTGAAAGGTGTTACAGCTGTGACTGATTGCTGCCAGTATAGAAGGCTGACACACAGGTACAAGTCAGACTTTTATAGTTGTTTATTTTTATTAGTAGTAAGAGTAGTATTAGTATTATTCTGTACTAAGAAAATTTGTCGTTTGAATTATTAAAAACAAGCTCTCTGTCCTTCTTTCCTCTTAGGACATAGAAAGGATCTGAAACTTAGGGGGCCGGTTAGCTCAGTCAGTTGAGCATGGTGCTAGTAACGCTAAGGTCACGGGTTCGATTCCCGTTCGGTCCCTGTGTGTTGCCTGATCTAGTTGAGAGGTGGTGACAGGGAAGCTGGATTAAATGATCTCTAAGGTCCCTTCCAGCTTAGGTCATTCTATGATTCTATTTAAAATCACTGTGCTTTTATTTTTTTCTACAATAGAAGAAAACCAATAAAACTTTCTTAAATCAACACTGAGACCAATACATTTCTTCTTCTTCAAATATATCTGAGCATATGAGACACTTCTGTGAAGTTTAAACCAGATTACTTGCTTTTTTAAGTCCTGAATGGATTTTCTCCTTTTAATTGTTACAGTTGTGATCTGCCTAATGTTACTTCCATAGTTTAAAAAAAAACCAAAAAAACAGGAAGGAAGAAAAGCATCATAATTGCTTTAATGAATTAAATATGTGAGTTCTGTATTTTGACTAAAAATATTTCATATTTTGTATCCTTACCATGAAGTTTAAGAACATAGGATACTTGGACAACTTGGACACTTGAATAAAATGAAAGAGAGGGCGAAAAGCCCTTCAAGTTTTGTATTTTGAGCAATTAACTTAAGCCAGAAAGCAAGTGATTTTACTGGTTCCAGGTAATCATCTCTTACAGAAGCACAGATACTATGAGTTTAGTAATGATAGTGAAAAATTCTTGATAGTTTTTGTGAGCTCAAGCGGTAATCAACTTTGGGGTTTGCAGATGTCAGTTTCAAAACTATGGTGTCAAGTCCCTCTCTTCTGTGTCTCTTTGCTTAAAATAAAATTGGTCATTAGTTGCATCCATGTTAAATGAACTCGGTAACCTGTAGCTTGGCCAGCACAAGCACAGAGCCAATTAGAAGGCATGTTGTGCAGTACAAATTAGTATTTCTTTTTTGCCCTTTGCTATGTGTCTTTATTTCTACATCGCTGGAGTCAGTGTTTTACACATTGCTCAGTCTTTTCTTCTCAACATCAAGGCCCTCTCTTTCTGTTCAGTTGCTAAAATTACTTTGATTTTCCTAATCAGATCTGGGGGCTTGTTTCTCGTCGAAAAAGCAAATTTCACCAAAACCAGCTGTAGAACTTCTGAAATTTTGTATTATTTTTGTTCTCTTAATTTTTAACATGAATTTCGGTGTGCCACTTAGTTGAGATAAAAATGTTGTTCCTTTAGTTGTATTCACAAATACATGTACACAAAGTTGTTAGCTATGAAGCCTGTTTAAGAATATTTTGCCTTACTTGCTGTGGCTTTCAATTAAAATAATGAATGAAGGCAAATTTGAGAAATTGAGATCCAGCTGTTCAACATGCCTCCTTAAAAACCAAAAATCTTATTTCAGCTTTGATACTGCTCAGAAATTTTTTGATTGTTCTTTTGATGCACATTATAATAAAGTAGTATCTGAGGTTTTTTTACTGACAGTATCTAGATGGTACTGGTAAAATTTAGTGAGCCCTCTGACATAAATATAGAAGAGAAATACCTTCTGTTAATTAGATCTGAAACTGTCATGTCAATAAGGTCACTGTGTTCTGAAGAAATTTTTAGTATTTTTTTTCTCCTATCTTTTCTCAGTGTTTTTATCAGAAAGACTTTGATATCACAAAAGGCTTATTTTAAGGTCTGAATATAATTTCTCACATTAGTATCTGAATTCACTCTGTTTTTTTTTCTTCTTTTTTTTTCCCCTGCACAATCACACTGCATCCAGACAAATTATTGATCCATCATTGTGGTGTTTTAAAGTCTCTTCCAGAGATGAAAAAGTAGTTTCAGCTGTGTTTTAGTGGTGTTTCTCAGATAACAAAAGAAAAAGTACCAATATATGGCAGAGAGAAAAAATTAATGTATGTCATTGAACAAGGCAGCAACTTTCCTGTCACCCTCATTTGTATGTGGGATTTTGGCAAAAATCTCAGACTTTTTAAAATCTAAAAGCTTTTATCCATTTTGCATCTACTTTGCATGCAAGATAAGCTGTGTAATTCTAAAACAACAAATTGAGATTCTCAATTTAATTGTTACTATTTTATAATATTGATTAAAAACTCTCCACTGAAGTCAAGGCCTTAATGGTGCTTGGCATTATACAAACTTGTTAAATGAGCATAACAAAGGCACAACTAGTAGCAGAAATGAGTAAGCTAGGAATAATTTTTGGTTTTCTGGCCAAGGCTGTACAAAAATTATAAGGCTAAATAAAGAAATAAATCCTGTATTTTGCAGCCAACAAATATGCTACTGCAAGGATTTGTTGGTTTTCTAAATGCAATACACAGAAAAGATAAAGTTCAGTCATATGAAAGAGGACGTAGCAAAACTTTTTCTTTTTTTTTGTACTTTAGCCCTGTTCACTTGCTCTGCTGTCTGTTACCGAGGCCGTTCATCCAATGTGGCAGGGAAAATGCGGTCTGTCAGCACAGTACGCTTTGACACAATGTGCGAAGTTTGTAGATGAAACACTGTGCGTGACGTTAACCCGTGGAGTGGATTCTGGGCAGCACTGGAAGTGGCAGGAGTCAAGAAGTGGTGGTTCAAGCCATTTGTGTGCTGCCTGGCACTAATGTCTTGGCTTCCCATAGGGTAGGAAAGAGAGAAGAAAAATGGGAAAGGTCATGTTTTGGAACAAAGAGGTTTCTCAGTGGCATCCTACTGCCATGCAACTAATGCTTGTTTTGGAGCAGCTGCTGCCATTAGTTCCTTTTGTTACGTATATGAAAAACCTAGAAGAGTTGATGATTCAATGAATAAAGGTTTTTTTAGATGTATTAGTCACCCAAAACAATTTGGGAGAAGCAATTTTCTCCTTTGTTGGAATTAACTGCTTCTGAATTATCAAGGTGTACATGCGGTACCAAAAATCAGTTGCATCTTTGTTTTTAATCAGTGGGTATTTCCCATGGCCTCTTTGGGGTGAGAATCCAGCAAAATTTTTGTTTTATTAAAGCAAACAACTATCACATCTTTTAACATAAATATCAAGTTAATTGCTTGTGTATGCTAAGCTGACAATTAACAGTTGCTGTTTGAATTAATATGATTCATGAAAGTCATGCTTTTTGGTAAGAAGTCATCACTTAACTGCCATTGTTTGGGTTTAAAAGCTAGTGGGCTGTGGGCTGTGTGAAGTTCGTCGTGAAAGGCATGGAAAGGTGTAAGGAGGATTTGGTGTCTCTTCTAAAATATTAAAGGGTGTGTACAATCAATCAGTGTCTTGGGATGACTTGCAATTTTTTGGCAATGTGTACTACAAAAACTGCGTAACAGCCGGGGTAGCAGCGTTGCTTGCAAGCAGGCCAGCTTTCTTCTGCTGTTGGGGATGACTCTCTCCAGATTTAGTCTCTTCCTAGACAGGGTGTTTCTGAGTTTGAAATAAAAAGAGAATTGTTCTGCTTGTCAGATGAGTAAAGGGAAAAAAATAATCCTATTCTGTTAATGGAAGTTTTTGCAGGGTGTTGATGCCCTTTAAAGATGCATTTCTTTACCTTCTGTATGAAAAAGTTTCTAAGAAAATATTGGATAAATACTGCCCCAGTTTCAACTGACATATGACACTGCACATAGCCAGTAAAGACTTTTTGTAAAAAAATAAGCAGACCCAAACCAAAAACCTTATGGCTTTATGAAGTGATGCAATTAAGTGATTGTCCAGCCCATTTTGAGAAGGAAGAGCATAAGCCTGTGTCCAGCCGCAAAAACCTGTAAGAGTGGATGCTGAGACATTCCAGAGTACTTAAAAAGCAAAAGAAAAATTGATCTGCTAGCTGTGAAATGTGTTGGTACCTTTTCAAGGTAACATTTTAGCAGTCTTAAACATTAGTAATTATTGAGCATGGTGTTCCCACAAAAGATGAAACAAATTTAGAGAAGCCAGTGCAGAACACTGCAAACAGTTAGAGCATTATTGAGTCACTCAGCCACAGATCAATTTAGATTTTGTGTTTTGGGGTTTCTTTTCATTTCAGTGAGTACT